CGACAAGTTCGTTAAGGGTAAGGAAACCCTAGTTTTATTATGTACCTTGCGCAGGAAGTTTCTGGTTTTGTCTTGTGATCTGTTGCTATGTCTTGCTTTCGATTGTCGAGTCATGAGAACCTAACGGCCGTGAGTTTGAACCGCCTCGTCAAGCCTCCAAACAGATCCGTCGAGTGTAAACGCTGAGAGAGGTGAACGGCTTAATCCGAGAGTCGTATATGTTGTTGTGTTGTGTTATTTCTATCATTGAACCGAGAATCTAAACCATCTAAACCAAGGAATCCTACGTCTAATAAAGCACAGAAAACCGGAACGTATTATCGTGGTCACGTGAAGTGGAAATTGTGGTGTTTTGGAATTATTGTTTTGGTATTGTTCATTGAACCGGAGTCGATCATGTGCTCATGAAGTTGAATTGTGGTGTTATTAAAGTATTAGATATTTTGGTGGATTTAATTACTAACCATGTCAGATTAATTTAATTGGATGTAAAACAATTAATCGAGACTAAAATTTTGGTTTGAATTATTAGATTAAATCAGAGATTATTAAATGGATTTAATCTCTGACCGGTTAATTTAAACCGTTACAGATAGAAATCGTCGTTGAAGCGGGTTCTTGTTGGTGCTTATTTTAAACTAAGGAATTCAACCGATAGGCTAAGATGAGGGTGGTATTTGCGGATATGCAGTAGCCTCTTTCCTTATATACTCTTCGATAGTTGCTGAGTATAGGCTCGAAAATCGTCTTTGGTGATTTATGTGAATTTGTGTGTATGATAAAGTTAGGTTGTTAGTAACATGATATGTGAAATGCATTAGTGACATGACTTGACACCATGTTTAACGTATATTAAATTATAAAAAGGATTAAGTATATATATATGAAAAGAGAAAACTAAAGAGTATGTGAAGGATACTCGAGGAGGTTGGACTGTAATGGACCGACGGGTTCATATACAGGTCATTAACCGCTGACGAGCAATAAGGGAAAGGATCGAGCTACGGGCCGTGGTCTTCCAGAAGTAGGCTTGAGTAGCCATGAGTTAAAAGAGGCTTGAGTATCCATAAGTTAAAAATACTTAAAACTAAAAATGAAAGTAAAATATCTTGTTATGAGCAAGACTAACGCATGTTTGTTTGATTGATGGACCTTCTGAATCTATGCTAAGTAATGGTTGTTGTTTATGTTTGGAACGTGATTACTGTATGTCCAGTGGGCAGAGTTGATCTCCTCACTGAGTAAACTTGTTTTACTCACCCCTTTTTACCCTTTTTCTCTAAGTAGTAAGTTCAAAAGTTGCGGTTTGAAGTTTGTTCGTTGGTGAATTTTAAAGAAAGAAACGTTTTGGCAAGCCGGATGAATAACATACAGTCCCATCCTATGTGGCGGGACGGGTGTTACAAAGAGTCTCTCCCATCTTACCATACACGTGTTCATCACCACCACGCCTAATAATCTCCTCACCTAACTTAACGGCGACTTCAACCGTCCCCGCCGCACTATCATACGCCGAATCAATAATCCCCATCTCTACACCCACATCCGCCGTCACTTTCGCCGACGTAAACATCACATCCCTTGTCGCCGTCGGAGAACAAATCTTCATCCTAATAACAGCCATAAATCACGCTGGAACTTTAAACTCAGTATCTAATTCATTAATTCATATACAAAAAACCTCTATCACGACGCATCAATACATAATCATCTAAAGGCAATAAATGTTTTTTTGTGTATATAAAAAAAACTCGAAAATAAATATGTTTAGTCTTGGGCCTCATAAATTTCAAGGTTATTTTAGATATTTTTGTTAATTTGGTATTTTTAGTTATAAAATTATAACTAAATATAACTAATATTTTTAGATATATAATTTTATTTCTAGTTTTCAGATAGAATGTTTGGTTTTTATTTCGGTACGGTAATTCCAGTAAAAATATTTAGAATCTGTTATGAATTTTATGAATATTCGTTTTTGTTTCGGAACTGAAATTTTTAGATAGGTTTTTGGATTTTGATTTTTATGCCTAAACCTAAGTGTGCTCCATGTAAAAATAGTATCTGGATCCGCCAATGTATGTTGCTGTTGTAAAATCATACGTGGCTACTGTTGATAAATTTGCATGAAAAATTATTCTTTGCAATAGCATAGATTTGAATAAAATAATAGCAGATGATGTGAAAAAAATGAATAGAAAGAGTAAAATGAAATTATATAATTAAGAACGTCAAATCAAGCATTAAAAATTATATATTCAAACTTATCACTTAGATTACATAAAATATTGGGGTTTTACGTTTTTTGTTTAAAACTTGAAAAGAAACCAAACAAAAAAAAATTCATTTGTAATAGTATTATTGTATTAATATTGGATGCATATGCTAATATAATAGTTTTTTTTTAATTTTTTTAAATAAAAACTAACATGGAAAGTAAAGTAAATTAGATGAAATAACACAATAAACAAGATGAGAAATAAATTAATAACTAAAATCAATGAGAATTCAAATATATATGTATATAAAAAAAGACAACGAAACAAATACAAAACAACTACTCCCTCCGTTTTCGAATAGTTGTCGTTTTAGAGCTTTTTTTTGTTTTAAATTAGTTGTCGTTTTAAGGTAATAATGTAATTTATGCCAATAACTACCAAAATTACCCTCATTTTATTGAACACAAATTATTTGTAAATAATTACTTGTCATTTTTATGAGGTTAATATAGTCATTGTATATCTTTTCTTAATTTGTCCAAATACAGTTAAAACGACAACTTTTCAAAAACAGAGGAAGTATAAAACTTTGGAAAACTAAATGAAAACAAATATTATGGACATGTACTATGTTGGTTTTACTACAGAAGAAATTAAAATGGGCAAAAAAGCAACACAAAGTGTCATAATGTGGACTCGAACCCATGTTAGGGGGGTCATTACAGAACCCTTTAACAAATTTAGCCGATGTTTACATTATAATTTTTCTTACAAATCAAGTTTTTAATATTTAACATGGGTCAACTGACCCCTTATCTTCTGACGTAGTTCCGCCAGTAGTATTTGGAGAAAATCATATAAAATACTATAGTCTGCAACCTAAGAGGATGTACGAGTTTAAGCCCAAAACCTTTTTAATAATTAAAATATATATATAACAAAGGTTAAATATCTTTTATATATATATTCATCACAAGATTTGTGATGAACAAAAAAGCGACCACAAAAACAAGATCACTTCGAAGTCACCAAATAGTGGTGCACTTGTGTTATTTTTGCTTCTTAGAACACCTTCATTGATCAGAGACTCTTTTGAGTTTCTTAAATCTAAAATATCTAATATTTAATATTAAAAGAAAATTAACCAATAAGAAAAAGACACATGGGAAGAGTCTCTCAAATAGGTTTTAAAATCTTTGAGATATGTCTCTCATCCTCTCTCCTGCTTTTCTATTATTTTTAAAATTTTTAATCTTTCGATATTTTCCAACATACCAGCGTTGGAGATGTCCTTATATTTTTCACTATTTCCTCTATGACTTGGGATCGTGGAATCTGCTGGCCGCTTTCATTAAGTGTAGAGGAGTAGAAGAGATTAAAGGAGAGCAGTGGCGGACGAATGTTATAAGGAGGTGGGGCACGTGCCCCACACTAACTTCTTATTTTGTGTTTGTATTAGGGATTTGTAACAATAAGTTAGCATATTTTAGTTGAGTTTTATATAAGCATCCCATCACTCACAAGTTCAAACCCTTTTGATGCTGCAATTTTTTTTCTTTCATTTTCTATTAGTTCTCCAAATACTCTTCTAATATTGTTTTTGGTTAGCCCTCTTTATTTAAATGTCAGTTTTAAATTTTGTTTTTATTAATCTGTCTTTAGTTAATCTAAAAAATATTTTCATATGCATATAAGATTTCAATAATATATAAAATATTAAATAGATTCAAGAAAAAATATTTTTAAAATATATTGTGCCCTATACAAAATATTTGTCTAGATCCGCCCCTGAAGGAGAGCATAGAGATTGGTTTTTGAGCTTTGGAGAGTTCTACATTTCTACTTTTTTTTTTGTTTGTTTGTTAGGCAATCCATTGAAACCAAAAAAGCTATAAAAAAAAAAAAAATCCATTGAACACCAATTTAGTTATGAGTTGATAATTTGTCGAAAGAGAAGAATTAGAAGAGAAAAAATTTAGTATGATTTCTACTAATACAAAATTAAGCACTAAAGTGAAAACCTCAAATTAGGCACTAAAGTGTAAACCTCACTCGTAAGAAACGAAGTTAAAAAGAAAAAAAAAACAAAAAAAAAGCTTGATGACCAATTCAACGATCATTGATAGTGGCAAAGTGCGATGGAGTCTTTGTTATTTGCTTTCAACATAAGTCAAAGTCATCTGCGGTTCATCTAAAATCAAACAATCTCAAATGACACTGAAAATAAAATTTCAAGTCGTTGTTACTTTCTTCGTTTTAAGTCAACGTACACTAATAGTCAACTCCACTTAATATATTATTTTCGACTAATAGAAATTGCAAGGAAGTCATTTTTTTTTTTTTTATAAACCTTATCGGCTGATCCGGTTAGCTCCGGTAGAAATGCACTGAAGTGCTTCAGAGTGGACTACTCCTCGAAGGGCCACCACACTGTCTGTCCCGAGTTTGGAATGTTTTCCGACTAATGTCAGAGGGTAGGCAGATCGCCTGTTATTGGACTACCAGGTAAACTGTTTGGGCCTTTTGGCCCAAGCCCAGACTTCCCACACAAATGTGTTTTTTGTTTCCAGCGTGGATCGAACCTGCGTTAGTTCCTTCCAACATTTCCTCAATTCTCAACTACCGCTGGACCACAACTGTGTAGGCAAATTCAATATTTGAATTGTATTTGAATTGTTCCAAAACAACGGAAAAAGACTTATCACTTAAAATTCAAATTTGTAAATCAACAACAAGAAGGAATATTGTAGGCTTGTAGGGTCATATAGAAACCGCGTTCACAAATGAAACTTTGAAATAAAGCTGGTTAACAAGAAAACTAAATAGGGAAACCAAAAATATGAGGTTAGGCCTTCTATATATATCATAAACTTGCGATGAAAAAAAACGCAACGAAAGAGAAATGGGTTCGAAGTCTCCAAATATTTCTGCACTTGTGTTACCACTGCTTCTTATACTCTTCACTCTTTCCTCTCAGCTTGAAGTCGTGGAATGTACAGGCCGCAAACTGTGTAAGTTTCTTTACAACAAATACACTTTATGTCTTGCCCTATATCTTTTATGTTTTCTTGTATATATCATTTTTAATGAGAAAATGGAAAGAGTGTATGGCAAGATATAAATTCATCCTTACATTACATCAACAATTTCTAAGTAAAGTTGTGAAAAGAACGAGTTCAAAATCGATTTTTCCTTCAAAGTAAATAAAAAATCTCTCTTAGTTTAGTTTTGAACTTTAATATGTCAGCGTGGGGGTTTTCGGGAACGCCTATCGTGTACACACCACCTTCAAGGTCATGTGGAACTTCTCCAGCAGTATTCACTTGGAAGTGGAGGAGACCCCGACCATGCAGGCTTCCTCCAGGAAGTTATATTCCTGCTTCTGACCAATCACCTTAACTATGTGCGTCTGTGTCTTTGTGTAAGAGTTTTCAAGTTCTATGCAATAATAAAGTGTATGTGGTTTTAAGATTTGGTTTACACATCTAAAATCATGTGCTCCTTTCAAATGATGTAAACAAAAACTATTGTGTGTTTGATTAAAAACTACAAATAATATTATTGATCCTAATATTGAAATAGTTGTTGAATCCTTTTGATCAGTGGTTGGTTAAGCCTCTAGCGTTTTTACATCAGATATTGGATTTGACTTCTAGGGAATGTATTAGATTTAAGTATAAATATATATATATATATATACTTAAACGTATATATGTGTAAGTTAAAGTCGTTTCTAATAATATGTGTTGGATGTCCTGTTCTAAAAATCTCCGTCTAGTCCGATTACTCTACGCTTAATCGCTAGTCTCATCCTCTCCGCCTCGAGTAATGACTAAGTCCTTTAAAAAATCAGTCACCCGATTACTTTCCGCCTAATCCGATTATTTTCCGCCTATTCTTAGATATCCCGATTATTTTTTGATTGCAAGTATAAAACAACTTTTTTTTTTGTTATTTAAACATTTGAGTTGGAAGTTTGTGATGTTTTACAATAATTTATGTTCAAATTTTTAGTACAAGTCATAATTTTTAATAAAAAATCATAAAAATTTACCTTTAAATATATTTTTATGTGTTTACTACAATTTTGAAAATAATATTAGATTAATATATTTTTAAAATATTAAAATAACCCTAAAACTAATTTCCGATTAATCCCCGATTTTAATCCGATTTTCCGATTAATCGCTAGGCCCATACCGAACGCCCGACTAGCGCCTAGCAATTTTTCAAACAAATGTTAGATGTGGTATACTATTTTTATAATTCATAAAGATTAATTTATTGATATATTAACTAGTTAGTTCCAAAAACTTGTTGAGACCGAATAAATATAGTAGTATTTATTTATATATGTTATATCGTGGTTAGATAATTCGTTTATATGGAAGATCAAAAGCATTTAGTGTGAGGGTTAGACTTAGGAAAAAAACTGAGATAGTTAAAGTAAAAAGAAATTAGTTGTTGTGCACTAAGAAAAAGAAAAAAATAATTTTAGTAATGCTGACATATACTATGATCGTGGATAGTGAGACTAATATTAAGGTAATATTACTAAAGTTAGGTCAACCATATGAAAATATGTATTCACACTTCAGTCGCTTGGTCAAGACTGTTGTTATATTCGAGTAATAGATAATGGCAAGAAAGTCGTATGATGCTTTTCTAATAGATTAGTAAAACATTTCAATCTTGTGGAGCAATCAAACCTGTAATCATATAATTATTTAAAGAATTTTATAGATAACGTACGTAGAAACCGCGTTACGTTCTTAAAATATGCTGTTTTATATATATAAAAAAGAAATATATTTAAATTGGCCTTGGTCTATATATGTTGGTCAATAGAAATCAGATCAAATCAAACCGTGACGAGAAAAAAAAAACATGGGTTCGAAGACATCATCACAAATGGTTGCTCTTCTCTTATCTCTTCTTATTCTGATTTTCACTCTTTCCTCTCAAGTTAGAATCGTCGAGGCTAAAAGCCGCAAACTTGGTAAGTACATATCCTTAGACTCTTATAATTTGATCACCTCACAATCATCCGATCGCATAAGCTAATATGTTAATTAAAGCAAAAAAAATTTATATTCGGAAAGCAGAAATTAGAATAAAAACTGCACTTGATGATTTTTTTAACCTATTCGATTTATGCACTTGATGTCGCAGCAAACGGAAGGCCAATTGTGTGGACTCCTGCATCTAGATCATGTGGAGCTTCCCATGCATCATGGAAGAAGAATCACGGACCTTGCAAACGTCCTCCGAGAACAGCTCCTGCTTCTTACAACTCTCCATAAGACCATAAAACACAGTTTTCGTTTTTTTTTTTGGAATCTTGGGTTGGTGTGAAACAAATAAAGTGTCTGGTTTTCTGATTTGGTTTCTCATCCGAATGTGTGAAATAATGTGTACGGTTAATTGATGAAGTATGCAACTCCATAAAACCTATTTTCGATTGTGTAGATACTCAAATATATATTTAGCAAACTTCACAATTCTTTTACCAAAATATATTCTATTACTAATAACGTAAAAAACGTAAAACATTGCAAAAGTCAATGTGGTACAAAGTCTAAACTATGGAATCCTAAGTATAAACATGTGGCATCGCATCATAAGTAGCAAATTTGACTTGGAACCTGAATTTATTTTATCATAATCCCTAATACAAATATAAGGCTTAAAGAAAGAAAAAACAATATTCTACAATTCGGATCCAGTGTTTCGCACCCTACTCGAAGGGATCTCATCTAAACCGATCTTAAGGAGCTGAACCTATCTTAGAGGAGTTTCTCTCATCATACCGTACATGTGTCCCTCAGCTTTTCACCTAACCTAACCGTGGCTTCAGCAGAATCTACTAGAACATCCTTAAAACAATGTAAAACCAACAAGACCAATACTATGAAAGAAACAAGCTCATGACTAGTCCATGTAATTAGGGTTCTCTAACAAAATTGATTACTATATAAAATATGTAATGAACATCAATGTGTAATTTCGAGACTTGCCATTTGGAGAAACTCTCTTCTTCATCATTTTATATCTCAATCTAAGAAATAAGAATCTATTATAGCTTAGTGATTCTCTTACTTAAAGAGCTTTCCTTTTCCTTTACTTAATTGTATATAATAATATTCAATGAACTATCTTATTTTCAGTTTTAGATTCTATGTTAATTAAGTCATTTGAACACAAATCTATCCTTTTTTTTATAACGCAAATCTATCTTAGTTTGGTTTATCCTACACACTGTCCTCCATAGTGCCGTGAGCGGAGCCAACAAATCTCATATCCAAACCTTGATCCAGTGTAAACATCAGTACATCACATACCTTCTCACAAAAGATGAACCAATTTCATCCAACATATAGCCATAAACCACGACGAAACGTTTAGCTGAGTCACTACAAAAAAAAGGTCATTTTGCATCATATAAATTATATCAAAAAACTAAATGATGCTATTTTAAATCAATTATTGATAAGTGAAACAAATAGATATGGTTTTGCATCAATTGTAATAATTGATGTTGTAATTAACTAGTTTGACATCAATTCTATAAAACGGATACAATTTTTAGAAGTTTGTATCACTTTTACAAAATTGATATTAAAGTATAAATTTACATCAATTACCTAATTGATGTATTTATTATTTTTTGTTGACATCACTTATAAAAACGTTGCAAAATTTACATCAATAAAAACTGATGCTAATAAAAATTATATTAATAATATAAAAATAATTATGCAAATTAGCTTCACTTATTAAAACTGATGTAACAATGTTCGTCTTTAACATCAATTTAATAAAATGATATTGTTTTTTTAGTTTGCATCAGTTAATACATTTGACACTAAACAATAAACAAACATATTTGCTGTAGAAAAAAAAAAGAAACCTAATTCCTAAAAACAAACGTACAGCACTTGTGAAGAGCCGAACGTCGTCTACACAGTTCCTCCTCCTTCTTCTTTTTTATGAGCTTTTGATCAATCTTAACTCTCCCATAGACCTCTCTCCTCTTTACCTAAAAGCTTAAATAGTTTTTCTAGATTTGGTGAGCCAAATTACATTTGAAGATTGATTTGACAAATCAAACACTCTCGGATCTAAAAGTAAGGTGACGTGATTCTCTATTGTTCTCTTTATTACTTTATTGTTGAAAATTTATACTATTTTGTGAATTTTTAAAGCTTTCAAATTGTGAAAATCTTTTTTTAGGTTTTGAAAATGGATAAATCATGGATTGACAAACCACGTTTATCTCAAGAGTACATATTAGGGGTAAAAAATTTCTTGGATTTTGCATTTGGTAAATCAAATGCACAAATGATGAAATGTCCATGTAATCGTTGTTCTGTAACAAAATTGAAGTCAAGAGAAGATATTGAAGGTGACTTGATGTGCTATGGTTTTTTAAGCTCTTATACAACTTGGATACTACACGGAGAGGATATATGTGTCACAGAAAATGCAAGAGTACCTTCTAATATTGATCGAGCTGATTTAGACTCAACTATAAATCTCTTGGATGATATTTTTCCTGATAGTACTGCAAATATGTTTGGTGAACACGAGCCTGGATCGTGTGAGCAACCTATGGACACTGATAGACCATCTACTTCAAGTGGAAATTGTGGAAAAGGAGAAGGTTTTGATGAGTTGTTCACTGATTTTAACCAAGAGCTATATCCATGATGTAGTAAATTCACGAAGTTGTCTTTCATATTGAATCTGTACCATATCAAATGTTTGTGTGGGATTAGTGACAAGGGAATATCTATGGTGCTTGATTTGCTGAAAGAAGCATTTACACATGTCAAATTGCCAAATTCATTTAATGACATGAAAAAGGTTATTCGCAAATTAGGAATGACTTATGAGTCAATTCACGCATGTCCAAATGATTGCATGTTATACTGGGAAGAAGATTCAGAAAGGGAGACTTGCAAAGTTTGTAAAGCCTCTCGTTGGAAAGATAACATTTCTGCAGAGAGTATGGTTTCTGGATCAGAGAATAGGAAAAAGAAAGCTCAAGCTCCTGCAAAGGTTTTGCGTTATTTTCCTCTAAAGCCACGACTGCAACGTTTATTCATGTCATCAAAAACTGCTTCCCACATGAAATGGCATGCAACTGCTAGTAATAATGATGGTAAACTTCGACATCCAAGAGATGGAGAGGCTTGGAAGACATTTGATCAAAAATTTCCCGAATTTGCATCCGATCCAAGAAATGTCAGACTAGGCTTAGCAACCGATGGTTTTAACCCATTTGGTACAATGAGTAGTAGTTATAGCATCTGGCCAGTGTTACTGTTTCTATATAACTTTCCACCGTGGATGTCAATGAAGCAGACATCAATGATCCTCTCTATGGTTATCCCCGGAAAACACATGCCTGGTAATGATATTGATGTCTACTTGCAGCCACTTATCAAAGAGTTGACGGAGTTATGGGTTGATGGAATTGAAACGCTAGATGCTTCCACAAAACAAACATTTAACATGCGAGCAGCTATCATGTGGACAGTTAGTGATTTTCCTGGTCTTTGAAATTTATCTGGTTGGAATATTTACACAACATCAGCATGTCCAAACTACAATTATGATGGCATCGGACAACGTTTACGAAATGGAAAAAAAAACTGTTTTATTGGTCATCGCCGTTTTCTTCCTCCAGATCATAGCTTTCGTCAAAATATAGCACATTTTTGACGGAAAAGTAGAAACAAGATCTCCACCACTCACATTGACAGGCTCTACAATTATTCATCAAGTAGAATAAGTTAATGTTACTCTTGGTAAGAAAAATAGTTTAGTTGGAGTTGGAAAAAAAGAAATCGACGTGATGCACGAAGATGTGGTACTCAACAGTGGAAGAAAGAAAGTATTCTTTTTAAGTTGCCTTATTGGGAATTTATAATGTTGCGGCATAATCTTGATGTCATGCACATAGAGAAGAATGTGTTTGACAATCTAATCTACACATTGTCGGATGACAAAAAAAAATCGAAGATAATCTGAGTGCTAGAAAAGATCTTCGTGAGCTAGGTATACGTTCGGATTTGTGGCCTGATGATAATGAGAAGTACCAAGATGCATGTTTTTCTCTGAACAATCATGCGAAAGATTTTTTTTAAGTGTCTTACAGAATGTAAAACTCCCGGATGGTTATGCCTCTAATTTATCAACTCTTGTTGATGTCAATGGTCGAAAGCTATCAGGCTTAAAAAGCCACGATTGTCATGTGATAATGAGAGATTTATTTTCAGTTGCGATTCGAAATCTGCTGCCAACAGATGTGACATCAGCAATTGTCGAGCTTTATCGTTTTTTTAGAGATATATCTTCAAAGGTGCTTGATGTCGATGAGCTAGATAAATTACAAGACGATATTGTAGTGACTTTATGTTGTATGGAGATGTTTTTCCTCCATCATTTTTCACAGTGATGATACATTTAATAGTACATCTCACAGAAGAGGCAAAATTCGGTGGACCGGTTCCATTTCGCTGGATGTATCCGATTGAGAGGTGAGTATTTTTCCCTTTTAGTGTTTATATATATATATATATACAAAACTAATACTTACTTGATTCAATTATATTTATAGGATGCTAGGACACTTCAAACCATATGTTCAGAATCGCGCTAAGCCTGAAGGTTCTATATGTGAGGAATATTTAGCTGATGAGTGTGTAACATTTTGCTCAATGTATCTTAATGATATAGAGACACGATTTACTCGGATTGGCCGCGTTGATGATCGACCTCTATCTGAAACTAGCATAAGACCAAATTCAGAACTTTTACTTATTTTCCCAAACCTTGGAAGTTTTGTTGGAGCGGGTAAAGTTTATACTCTCAATCATGTAGAGCGACAACAAGCACATCGACATGTATTGGTCAACTGTCAACTACTAGATCACTTACGAGAGTAAGTTTCTTTAATTCAAGAACAACTAATTTTATTTATGTTTTATTGAAATTCTCTAATGTAAACGTTTTGGTTATTGTTAGGAAATATAAAAACGAGTTGTTGAATAAACAATCTCATCAAAGTAGGAGGAATCGTGTTATCGATATTGACAGAGAAATGCATCTTAATTTTGCAAAATGGATCAAGCAGAAAGTAGAGCTGAATGAGTTAGATGATCTAACTGATGATTTACGATGCTTATCTCTAGGTCCATCTGAAAAGGTTATAAAGTATACAGCTTACAATGTCAATGGTTTCAAATTTCGGACAACCAGAAAAAGAATCTGACCTGAAAACACAAAATAGTGGTGTTTATGTGGCTGCTGAGACTACGAGCTATGCTAGTTCTCGTGATCCTAACCCAAGAACAGGAACTGTAGCTTACTATGGGAATCTGATTGAAGTTATGGAGTTAAACTACTATGAATTTTTCAAAGTTGTATTATTCAAGTGTAAGTGGGTTGATACTCGTACAGAACGAGGATATAGAAAAGATGCATATGGTCATCATATGGTAAATTTTTCACGCTTGTTATGGAGATAATGAAGAGGATGAACCATATATATTTTGGCGTCTCAAGCACGAATGGTATATTACGTACAAGATCCTTCAGAGAGTGATTGGAAGATTGCATTTCATATTCAGCCTAGAGACATGTATGACATGGGAGATTCAGAACAGTTGAATGATGAATTTGACCCTCACAACTCCATTAATGCTTCCTAAATATCTGGTAAGATTTTTTCTAGAATCATAATCTTTAGTGATATTTCGGCATAGTTATATCTTTCTTTATTCACTATTTTGTTGCTTGTTTATATAGCCAGGGACGTGACATCTTTGCGTGAAAAATCTGGTGTGGTGGAAGATCGTGAAAATGTGGACAAGATTCTTCTGAGTATGACCACCTTGTCAGGAAACTCGAGAATGTATTGTTTAGCCAGTCATGTTTAGACAAACTTTTGTTTCTTTGTCTTCATAAGGATTATTAAATATTATTAAGATCTTCCACATTCTTCAAATTATTTTTTATTTTTATTTTTTTCATGTTCTTGTATATACTCTTCATTTAATTTTTTTTCTAGGTATTTTGAGTGATATTTGAAGGTACAACCACATTCTGGACAAAGATAATATCATTTCAACTGCTACGGTCACTTGTACCGGGATAAATCATTATTTACGTGTCCGGTATCGGTCTTGTGTCTCGGGACAAAAACATATTAATTCAGCCGATATAACATCCGCTTCTTTCCCATCGGACGCACGTAACAGACCAAAAACATATTAATTCAGCCGACATAACATTCGCTTCTTTCCCATCGGACGCACGTAACGGCCCAAAAACATATTAATTCAGCCGACATAAAAATACAAAGAGATACTATTAACCTAATAATTACCTTTTCCCATTCTTCATCTCTTTCACCTACGTCGTCACTCCCTGAAAAAAAAAAAAAAAATCTTTCCACATTTTTTTGATGAACCCACGAAGATGATAAGAACATCGTTGGTGATGTGTTGTTCCTTGGTCTAACCCAATCTAAGGTATGTTCTAGAAATCCAAATCTCATGTTTAATTGAGGTATTTGTATATGGGATGTTCATATTTGACATGGAATTTGAGATTTGAGCTGAAATTGTGGCATAATTAAACCTGCGCTTCTTTGGTTAGTCTAAGCCGTCTTTGGTTATTCTACGCTTCTTCTCGAGTATTATACTTTTTTACAGTCGATGATTGTGTTATTTCTTGATGTATAGTCACTGATTAAAACTTAGAATAGGCTTCTTTGTTAATAATGAGTCTTCAAGCGTGTCATAAAACTCTACAAAAAAATGCATTCATTATAAACAATGTATTTTGGTTGAATTAATTTTACATTTATTAAAAAAAATGTATGTAATCCATGTGTTGCAATATATGTCGTTGAATCATACGTGGAATTGTTGATAAACGCCCCCCGCCATCAACGGTAATCAATTCTTTGCATGAAAGATTATTCTTTGCAGTAGAACAGATTTGAATAAAATAATAGCAGATGAGTAAGCCTATGAAATTATTTTTGAAATAAATGAGTAAAAAGAAACTAGTAATGCTAACAAATTTATTGAGACTATTATCATGGTAAGAACTTCATCAAGTAACCTACCAAGAAAAAAAAGAAACATTATTATCGCTTGTTTGTTTGTTTTTGTGGTTATGTAATGACATTAGTAGAGTGTAGTAGAAGTTATAGAATCTGACATGTGTTAGAATTTTTATGTTTTATTACCTACTTTTGAATTATAGTATCCATATCCCTCTCACAAAATCTATTTGGTCAGACTTCATTTGATTTATTCTTGTGCAAATTTTGTGTACTTAATCCCCGATTCTCTTCATCTCTTTTGGGTTGGCGATGAAGAAGATGGATTGTGGAGGAGACGGAGGTCGCCGTCTTTTGTATATGAGGAATGTTGAATTATATGTTATGAGAAGTCATGTCAACAGCTCTCTCCAGGTTTGTTTCATTGGTTATCATCTTTAATCGCTTGTTTTAGGCATTTTTGTTTTGCCGTTTGGAAATTGAGCGAAATTAATCTCATTCTTAGCGAGATCCAGAGAGCTCCTCCGCCGCCATGAAACGCATTCTTGTTGTTGTGCAACATACTGTGGACGAAACTATGGATTTGCTTTCGTTTCTGGGTCTTCCAAGAGATCGAAACCCACCACCACCCCCTTTCTTGGCCGTGGAACTCCCTGAAGTGCAGATTGCAGTTCCATTGATCTCCCACGTGCTCCAATTACTCACTGTAATCAATTCTGATTTCGATTTCATGAAGGAACATCTCAATGGAGTTGAGTTGAGCTGAGCAAACTGTTGGCTTATGAACAGAATGCTCGTTTTTTGGTCGATAGATTTCTCTCGGTAGTGGTAAAAATACTTGATGCTTTGGTGTTAGATCAGATCAAAGCTCAGAAAACAGCTGACTTGGAACTTTTTCTTTGGACTACTAATAGCTCTACTTTGGATAGTTTGATTACAGGACTTTTGGCAGGGTTTTGCAAGCTTGGTAATCCAAACCCTTTGGATTCCCTAGGAAAGCTGCATCACATTCGACAGTGTCTGCAACATGTCCTTACCCTGACAAGAGAATACATTTTGACTCATTGCCTCCTCCTCTTGCCTTTGCCCGAACCGCCACATTCATTTCCCATCGCATAGCTCCTGCCTTCTTTGGAGCAAGGTACTGTGATGTCTTTGGTGCATTAGCAAACCAACGATGTTGTCCACTTGATTGATTTACTGAATGACTGCTTGATGCGGATGCATGACTATGATCTTGGCAAGTTGAGGATGGTCGACTTGGAAGAAGTCTATGGCTTCGTCCACAAAGTCAAGACTACACTTGAAGAGAGGGCTTTTGTAGAGGGGACTTAGTTATGACGATGAAGACCACGTAAGTAGTTTTGTTTCTTTTTCTTTTGCTTGTCTGTAATGACAACATTAGTAGTTTGAGTGTAGTAGAACTGACGTGTGTTAGGATGTCTATGTTGCCTTACCTACTTTTGAGCTAGCTATTGTATCCAGATCTCTCTCGGAGTTAATTCGAATTTATCCTTGTGCAACATTTTATGTACTTACAAAGATCGCAATGCTCATTTTCTTTAGATCAACAATGAATGAGTTAAACGATGCAAATGCTCATTTACAAAACAATCGCCTGCATATTCCCATTGCTCATCAGATTCTTCAACTTTCCTATAGCCTAGGACATCAAGCCAGCGGGTGAAGGATGTCATCTCTTTGTATAGTAAGCCTAAGTGTCTCAGAAGAACATCTCTGAGGAACTCAGGTTCATTCCAAACGATGAAACTCTCGCCGCTCCCACTCCACGAGATAATTGAATCAGTTGAAGGATCATCCACCATCTCATACAAATGTGGGATGACAAGGCAAGATCTTCGTCTTGGCCTTGCTTTATTCACGACACTACGGTGTTGATTCACAATCGCAGCCATTTCTCTACAACAAGAAAGGCTGCTTAAAGGAACACTATCCGTCTCCACCAAACCCTTGCAGATCTCATGCTGTCTGAGTGTTCCCGGCGATAACCCACAAATAGGGGGAGGCGGTTTAGCTCAGGCTGAGCTCTCACAAAATAATCGCATGCACATTCCCTTTTCTTAGATTCTTCAACTTTTCTAAAGCCCAAGCGTTTAAGGTCATCTCTCGGAAAAACAGTTCTGCAAAACTTCTCATCATCCTAAACTATGAAACTCTTGCCACTCTCGCTCCATGAAACTATTGAATCCGTTGAAGGATCATCCACCATCTCATGCAATTGACTGCAGAAAATAGATCCTAGATGATCTCCATTACTTCTACGATCCATCCCTCTCAACACTTGCTATATCGACCCTAAATCCAAAACTCCAACATTTTAGTTATAACCAACAAAACACAATTACGTTGAGACACAAAAACAATCGTTCACCAATCATATCAAATCGAAAGAAAACGTATGATCAAAATCCAGATCCTAACCTCTTGATTTGATCTTCGTTCGTGCCTCTGAAACCAAACCCTAAGCTAGAAAACAAAAAATCTTACAAGACTAGGTTGGTTTTTACGTTTTTTATATATACGATACTGTTAAAGCCCATGGACACGCAAATGGGCCGGCCCATCTTAGCTAGCAAATTTCACTTCATTAAAAATAACGTAAACATGGTGCTTTTAAAGCCTATTATTAATTTATTATAACAAGGCAAAAGCTATGTTGCATAGAAACGGAAATGTGGAAGCGAAACGTTTCGAAAATGAGAAACGATTATTTTCTAAAATTAGGGATTAGAAACGTTTTAGAAACATATACACATATATAATATATATATATATATATATACATTAACATAAAACTATAAAAAATGGTTTTAATTAAACAATTCAAGTCCAAAACATCAAATATTAAATAGGTTAACTAAAATTCTAAAAGAAAAAAGATTAAAAGGTTCAAGTTCAAATATTTAATTTAGACCAACATTTTCATTCTCATTTTCATTAGTTTCATCGTAGATCATATAAAGATACCTCCAAAAATCTAGTTTGTCGATACAAAGATCTTAAAACTCAGAATCTTCCAAAATTAGTTATATGTATTATAAATCTGAAACTTTTCAACTTTTATTTATTAAGTTTTCAAAGTCAATAAAAAAAGATTTGCCGCGTTTCTATTTTAGAAATGTGAGTTTCCATCGTGTTTCCAAACATAGATTTTTAGGAAACGCGTTTCCGTAACGTTTTTCGTGTTTCCGTTTCCGAAAGTTTTTCGTGTTTCCGTTTCCGAAACGTTTTGGAAACGGAAAACGGACTTCGAAGAGAGTTTCCATGCAACATAGGGCAAAAGTCAATCTCGTACAAAAGTCTTAAAAGTACAAACATGTTCTAGAGTTTAGATCCAGTGTTACGCACCACACTCAAACCACTCTCATCTTCACCAATCGTATGGCTCAGAACCTCTCTTAAAAGAGTCTCTCTCATCTTACCATACACATGTCCATCACCTCCACGCTTAATAATCTCCTCACCTAACTTAACGGCGGCTTCAACCGTCTCCACCGCACTATCATACGCCGAATCAACAATCCCCATCTTAACACCCACATCCGCCGTCACTTTCGCCGCCGTCAATATCACATCCCTTCTCGCCGCCGGAGAACCAATCTTCATCCTAATAACAGCCATAAACCACGCCGGAACTATTAACTCAATATCCAATTCACTCATATACAAAAAACCTCTATCACGACGCATCAACACATAATCATGACTCATCGCTAAAATACACCCCGCGGCGGAGGCGTGACCAGTGACGGCGGCGATTGTTGGCATAGGAAGAGAGATCAGATCGGCGATTAGAGATCTAAGTTTTGCGTCCATTAGAACAGAGAGAGAAGGATTTGACTCGGCTAAAGCGAGATCGTAACCGTTGGAGAAGAATTTACCATCAGATGTTGTGATTAGGACTGATTTTGAAGATGATGGATCTGATCGGATTTTGTTAATGGTGGAGCGGAGAGAGTCGAGTAAGGTTGGGTTTAGACGGTGTTCGCCGTCGCCAGTGAGTTTTAGTATGAAAAGACGATCACGTTTCTCTAGTGAACACATTTCTCTCTCTTTGTGACTGATCAAATGATTTGGATTAGTAAAAGTGATTGCGTAAAATTGTAATAATATAAATAAAGAAAAGATATGTATTTAATTTGTCACGTTTGTTTTTGGACCGAAAAATACAATTTTAGGTTTACTAGCCTTTTACATTTCAAAGATGAGATAATTTGAAACATCAGATGTTGATAAATATTAAGTCTAATTTTGTTAATAAAATACAAAAATGTAAAACTTTCAAACCATATCGAACAAATAAATCTATGCATTGAAAAAGAAATATATGTGTCAATTAAAACATCATATCTTGTCACATTCAAGTCTAGTTTTGTTAATATCATAAAATTGTAAAAAATGTCAAACCATATTGGGAAACAAAAATTTATATATAAGTAAAAAATAAATCTTTTTTTTAAATTTCAAATAAAAAAATTGTTAATATATTAAAAAAAGGAAGTAAAAGTTATCTTCTTGAGAAAAGGAAATCAGAAATTTGTTAATTTTTTTTTTTAAAGTAACGGCATCGCGATATATTTCAGTTAAATGATTAGATTTTAACACTTGTTTTAATATTATCAGTTTGAATATTATTTTTCAAATTTTATTTTGACTTATCTTTAGTTAAGTTTTAAAACAAACAAAACTAAACTAAATTTTGGATACTGAAACCTTATATAATAAAACCAATTCCTATATTTTTAACCATTACATTAAACACTTTTTTTTTAACTTATAGAAAGAAGAAGGAAATGAGACGACTTAGTGAATCTTTAAAATCATATTTTGAGATTACAAATTCATAATTTTGTTAAATTTATGGTATGTTCGATTAAAATTCAATGTAGTTATATACAACTACAAATTAATCACATTTGGAGTCAAATTCCAAAAACTAAAATTTTGGCAGCAAATTATGGATCCGTTATCTTTGCGTCAAATTTTTTACCGTATCTTTTGTGCAGAAGTGTGATACTTCAATTATTACATCACAATAACGTCAAAGCGTGCCTAGACGGTAATTGCAAGCACAATACAACACAACACATGATGCATAAAAAACAAAAGCCCTTCTTTCTAATTCCTCCTAGATACATGGCTTACATATCTGGCCGCTTAAGCCACATCTATTCGATTGGTGATAAATTTCACATTGTTTCGTGGTAATATCAATAAAGGAGATAAAGCTTCTTGAATAAAACCAGCAATGTTGAAAAAAAAAAAAAAAAGTGAGAAACTTATTATGATAGATTTCCTCTGAATTTGAATTTTCTTCTCTTTTCTTTACTAGTAAAACAGAAACATGAACCATGACTATCTCAAGACTTGGTAGTAGGCTCGTCTGTCTCGTCAGCTTCAGCATCTTCAATCTCACTCGCTAACTTCACTAAATCTTCCACCAGTATTTTGCCATCTAATAACAAAGAAAACTTCCGTCAGAAAATTGAAAAATCAAGTTAAGTCAATGGAAGATTTAGAATATAGAGTTGTGACCTTTATCTTTAGAAAGGTTTTGGATAAGCTCTTGGATACCCTCTTTGCCCAATGTGTCCTTCAAGTACATCGCAGCCGATGCAACCTCATCTGGACTTACCTTTCCATCATAATCTCTGTACAAACAAAATGGAATTGATTGATTTTCAAATCATTACAAGGCGAGAAAGAATATAATGGATGGTTACACAGACCTGTCCAGGAGTCGCCAGCGGTTGCCAATCTTGTTATCGACATCATCAATTTCCTTTTCAAGTTTCTGGAGCATTGTCTCCACCTAACGATAGAAGATAAATAACGGAGTTAAAGATTAAAAAGACTAGAGAGTTTGTGACTGAAGAAAACTATATAAAATTGTTGTTACCCTATCTAACAGTGCAGAAGAAGTTTTATCAGCAATAGCTTTCTGAGCACTTCGGTCACTATCTTCTCGAGCAGCTAAATAAGCTTTCCTAGCCTCTTCCTCATCATCTGTGCCACCTTTCTCTACCATGCTGTTGTATAGATCTACCTGCACATAAAGAAGACAAGTTTACTCAGAAAAATCCAAGAAAGCAAGATAGAAACTAAAGGATAATGGAGTTAAAACTAAAGTGGATTTACCTCTTTTTTAACTAGTTTCAGGAACTCTTCACGCTCCATACTAACAGACTGAAGTCAAAGTCAAAAGAAACGAGAAGAATTAACCAGATTGCACACTCTTAAAACTCTTATAGGTAAAATAAATGAGAGAGTGGTTAAGTCTCCATACAGATGCGGAAGCCAAAACAGCCAATGCACGGCTGAGCTCACAAAGCTGCTCATGTTTCTCAAGAGTTTTCGCTTTCGCTTGCTCATTAGCATCTTTAGCTGTCGATGCCATCATCTCATCCAAAGCTACATCTTTTTGGCTTGAAGCAGACTCTTTCATCTTTGCCATTTCCTCCTCTTCTTCTTCCTCCTCCTCCTACATTCAATGAATCAGAAGTAAGAAAATAGTTTCCTGATACAATCTCAGTAAATTCATGCATACAAGGGAATTTCAAGCTCCATGATACGCGGAAATGAGAAACATAGTTCCACAATCTTCTTCCTTTCAGATACAGAATGGTAGGAAAACAAAGAGACAAACCTTGATTAATTCTTCTTGCATTTCAAGGTATTCTAACTTCCTCTTTCTTTCTGATACAGAATCTTCTGATGAAAGAGCTGTAACCCCAACAGTGTCCACAACCTCATCTGGCAGAGAGGAGAGAGTAGCTTGAACAGCCTCTTCTGGCTTGAGTTTCCCAGCCATTGAAAATGACCTGTCAATGCGTTCACAGGAAGAAAATTGTGGCAATGTCATTCTTAATTCTTCGTGTATAGTATATATATTGACTGAGTTGCAAGAGAAGCTTACCTAGAAAGAATTAAGAGGGATGATGGTACCGAATGGTTAAGAGATAAATCCAGCCAGTCAATTAGCTGTAATGAGAGATATAAAGATCAGAAATCACCTATATCTCTAGTTAAACTTCTAGAACAACACATACACCAATCACAAGATCATTCTTCTTATTCACAAAGAGTACAATTTGATTGATACCAACTCCACTAATGGAATGCTGGATGATATTTATAAACAAGCAATAACCTGCTCTCTCATTTCTTCAACTGAACCCAATTGAAGCATTCCCCTCTCTCTGCAAGCTTGGCGAAGTTCAGCTTCTGAGAGAGACTCCACACCTTCAGCCTTGATCAACTTATCATCCTTTTTAATCCTACGAAGTCCAAGGAATATGATTATGTAAGAAGGAAGAAGATAATTTAGATGTATGTATAAACTGAAATGCGTGTCTTGTAGAGATGCCACCAAATAAAGAGAAAACAGTAGTAGGACTCATTCGAGACAAGAAAAATCGCAATATGAGCAATGTTGAACTTACTCCTGTAATCTTTTCCGAAGCATATAACGCAAATATGCATCAGTTCCAAATGGGCTAATACCCATGTATTTGCACATATTTACCAATCGAGACCTGCAATTAGGAAGCTAAGGTAAACAAAACAAGCCAAGATAGAAACATTTTCACGTTACCAATATATACAGTTTTGACTAATGTGTAACCTGTTAATGTTATCCAACGTAAGCTCATCATTGAAGAGCTTTGCAAAGCCCAAAATTTCATCATTTGAAACACCAACTCCTCTTCTGACCTATAAATTTGATAACGACATTATCAGTCCATCTTGAACATTATAGAAGGACGTCAATTGAGTAAAATAACACGGAAAGCGAACCTTGTTCATAAATCCATCTAGATCTTCTGCAGTCTTTTTTATCTCCCCACTGCGAGAGGTTTGGACTTCCTTTGCCATTTCTTTAACAGTATCTTGGAGAAACTTAGCATACTCCATTCTTGCATTCAACCTTCTTTTTAGAGCCTCCTGCAAAAGAAACGTGAATTATAGCTTCATACTTGAGAAACAGACAAGAGTGAGCGAGAGAATAAAAGATCAAACCAATTCATACTTCCCAGATCAATGTAACTCAAATTAGTATAAAATCGGTATGATTTGTGTCTTTAGAATTAATAAGTGTCACTTGGATTGATAAAACGAAAGAGTATCACTTGGAAGACTGATAAACTGTGGCTTATTTGCTCTTGCTATAACTAGTATCCCGATGTCAGCCCTGATTTAAACATTTTCATTTCTCACAGCAAAAATAGGTCAAAGTCTAACATCAAACGTGGGGCTTCGACTTTCAGAACACTGATGTCAACCCTACATTAAAATTCATTAAAGATCTTCTACTACCACATCAAAGAAGAAAAAAAAAAAAAATTGAATATTTTCAGCACCATTTTGCCAGAAGCTGAGAACAAAGGTAAACTTTGTAATCACATGATGAATATAAATTCATTACATAGGTAGAAATGATTCTTGACTGTCCTAGGTTAGTCTCCGAAGAAGTAACTGGCAACACTATATTGTTGTAATATTTGGTCTATGTTCCTGAACCTCAAGTCTAGTAGTACATAAAAAGACGGTAATATCAATGGTAGTTCTCATTTCATAAGAATTTAAAGAGGCATTGTATTATTGGACATTATTTTGAGAATGGAAGAGGCAAAATAAAGATGAAAATGTGGAAAGATAGCTCATAATGTCTCTCGTGCTTGGTCTCAAATAGTCATGCAAAAAGTTCCATTACCCCAGTCAGCAAAAAAGAATAACTAGAAACATCTCACAACTACTTTTTTAAACAAATGAACCTGCAATACCAGTAAAGAATAAGGAATAGAGAAGCAATAAAATAGGGTTTAACATTACCTCTTCTTTCATCTTGTCCTGGAAAGTTGACGGCAACATGTTTGGGAACAGCTTAAGAAATACCGGTAGCAAGAACTCCATGAATGGAACAATAATGAAAACTGCAACCGGGACTAATCTAAAAATGTCGGCAGTTGTTCGAGTGAGTTGTTGTCGTTCCCTCCTAGAGAGACCTTTTCCATTAGCAAGTTTAACAAGCAGCCTTACACTGATCCTGACATCAGCCCAGAGCAACTTTGTCCCCAGCCAGTAGTGTTGGAGAGTAGATTTAAATTCATCTTTCCAGTGACGAAGCTTCTTAGCCCAATCTTCCCTGCAGAAACAGATCATATGTTACATACAATATATGGCATGAAATCAAAGCTATAACAAAAAAAAACTGCAGCCTAACCTGCTCATCGATGCAATAGCTCTCAAAGCAGGACCTATTCCCAGAAGAAACGACCGCACACGTTGCATAATGGATATATCAGATTTCTGGGATTCTTCCAATTTCATGGCTTTAGCTTTAGCCTTAGCCAAACTCAATCCCTCAACAGCTTCATCACACTCCTCAGGAGAAGCTTCTTTGGTTTGCAAAGTAAGCTTTTCTCCCTTTTTATCATGGTCAGGCTTGTTAGCCGTTGCCAAAGAGGAGTACATAGATTGTCGAACCAATCTATATCCCAAAGGATAAGGGAATTCTAATCTTCCAACTCCATTACTAAAATTTGGAGACTGAAGTAATCTACTTGTATAGAACCCCTCCAATAACCCGGTCGACTCTTTATTCTTGACATCTTTAAAATCACGTTTTCCAGATACATATCCTGAAGTAATGTTCTCATATCCCCGCTGTCCTTGCCGCTCAATACTTGAAAGACATTGAATTGTAGGCAAATGCTCACTTAGAGATTTGACGACGTTGTAACTTCTCCTTCGAAGAAGCGCTCTTGAAGCCATATTGTAGTAAATGTGTAGCTATATTCAGTATGTACCAGCTACATACCAGTAAAGCCGAATTCTATACCAATCTGCACAATGATTGTATAAAAAATACGTCATTAGATTGATCCTCTAATCAGCGATTAGCAAGATATATAATCCTAAACCGATGAAAACCGCACGAAAACGTGATCGATCATTCACAAAAGCCAAAAAAAAAACCATGACTAATAACATCACTAAGCTCTCAAGAGTCAAGCCAGAAAAGTCCTACATACAATTTCTAACCTAAATTGAAAAATTCGCAGTCGATTCACTGAATCTGAAACACGATCAAGATTGATTGCGACGAAATTGAGATGATACGAAAAAAACCAGAGACTGAAATTCGGATGATGAAAATGGAGACGACTTACATCTACAAAAGAGACAGAGGAAAAGGATCGATCAAAACGTGGAAGACAATCCAAAATACTTCGAGAGAAAGAGCTTCAATCGAATCGTCGTCGTCACTGAGCCCGAGAAGAAGAAGAAGAAGAAGAAGAAGGATTCAACGTGTTTCCGCTGATTTTGACCGTTTTGTTTCGGGTCGGGTCGGGTCGGGTCAAATCGGGTCGAGTCGGGTTATACAAATACTTCGGATCTCTCTACTGTAGAAGTAGAACTACATATTACCATTTACTTTTGTATTTTTGTTTTTTGAATAATTTTTTTACCATTTACCTTAGTTGTCGACTAAAAAAATTATTGTATGCACAGATAAAAATAGTTTTTGGGTGGACTAACTGAATTTTATTTTGAAATGAAATATAATAATAATAATAAGATTGGATCAGATTTTTTATTAGGATCGAATCGGACCTTTGATATAATATGTTCAGATTTTTTTTATTAATAATCCCATGTATTTTGTAAGCAGTTTGTTAATCTAAGTATATATATAAAATTTTGAAAAACTCCAAAATTACGGTTTAAATGATACATACAATATAAGCTACATGCAATACTCAAATTTCTAGTTAGAGTTATAAACAACTTTTAAAATATTTTTTATTAATAATTAGTCGAACAAACTATTAAAAAGCTCATAAAAAGTTAGAGATAAATATGCAACCAGATAAATCAAATGTATAAAAATACAATAGCACTCTTAACTTCTAGGTAGCATAAAGGAAAAATAACTAAAATATTAGAAAGACAAAAGAATAGAAGATATTTTTTTGCAAGTTTCAATGAGAAGGAAAGAATTTGTTGAGGCCGAAAGGTAGACCGTAAAACTCATCATTTCGCACGTCAAGATTATATAGTCGAAACTTATCCCACCATTTGAGTCCGCAATCTTTCTTGGCTTCATCGCTTTCACGACACAATGTGCAATCAAGCACTATTGCAATTATTGCCGCAACTGTTGTATGCGACATGAATATCACTCTTATCACATCTTCCAACTGGTTTGTGTATTCACATGAAAAAAATTCTCAATTGGATAAGTTGCAAAAAACTCTTTGTGATTTAAACAATGTGTCTCAAAGTATATAAGAAGATGTACTTACCCAATTTGCGCGATGATCAGACCGCCAACCTCCATTATAGTATTCTCTGAAATATTGCGGGATCGAAATAGCCATGAAAAAAGAAAATCCCAAAATGAATTTGGTGTTGAAACTATTGAGGTTGCAGAATTGTAGAAAGCTAAGTCCCGCTGAAGCTGTAATATATTGAATTTGATTTGATTTTTAGTAAAAAAATATAAAACATATATTCATAGAAAATGTAATCTTACACTTATAGAAATTACAAGTGCGATGTGATGAAGAGACTTACACACAAAACACAAGACGATGCAATAAAGAGATGCCATGATTGGTAATGGTATGGACGCGAAAAAAGCTCCAAATTTTCCTGCATTTTGATCAAAATAAATAAGTTACTAAACCAGTAAAAGATATTCAACAAAACCATTTATACATTATAAATAGGAAGATATAGGTTATAACAAAAAAATACCAAAAATGGAGAAAAAAAGCATGAATGCAGCTGATATTTGTATCACTCTTCGACTCCCAATCTTAGTCATTGCCAAAAGTCCAACATTTTCTCTGAATATTAAGTTACATTCATCTCAAAACTATATCATTAGCCTTTAATTACTAGAATTTATATAAGAGAAACTAAAGATAAATATTGGGAAAATTAAAAATTTGTAATTTAGAGATGAGTTTCGTTACGTTGATGTTGTGATCCCTGTGATGCCTCCAAGCATGCCATTGAGTAATACTCCAACTCCCTACAAAATATTTATTTAAATGTTCATATAGATGATGAAATATTTAAATAGTTAATAAACGGTCAAAAATATGTTTTAAGTGACGGTTAAATTGTTGTTAGACTAACCAGCCAGCCAGTACCACGACTAACAATTGATGGTGGAATTGGCGTCGCGCTTCCATATCTTGCGGATGCATAGAACAAACCAGTCGACTACAATAGTACATAAAACTTATCACTCTTCATATTTAATCATAGAAAGCTAAATATTATTTTCCATGATTTTTCATATCAATTTCATGTAAAAGAATAAAGTTTAACCTCAAAGAGAGTGACTAAAGACGCAGCCATCATTGCAAAAGAATCAGTGATGTCGAAAGTTGGGCTTCCCCATTGAAAAGGATATGGTATGTATATCCTATTATTCACATAAAAAATATTAATATTAAAATAGTAAAATCTCTACACGCAAAAAAAATGAGCATCTCAAATAGAAGAACTGACCAAGGAGTGTTGGTGATGAGACCAGTACGATCTGTACGACAACTGATTTGAGTAGTTTGAGGCTTGTGGTCATAAACACCAGTCGATGTGAGTAGCTGAGCGAACAACCATACCACTGGAATGCATAACATCATCCCATAACGGTCACATCTATTTCCATCCCAAATCATCGCGCCTTTCTTCATCTTCAGAAAACGCGGTAAATACTGCACCCAACAGAAAAGGAAAAAAAAAACATTATTTGTTAATTGTAAATGCCAAAGCCAAGCACAAAACAAAAATACTCTTAACAAAAATATTTGATGTAAATTATAAACTAAAAAGTGACATGTAAAATGATTCGCGTTGGCTAAATTAATGTTTTTAGATGATTTATATTTTATTTTCTGTAATCATGTGTATTGATTTGAAACAAAAGAAAGCTAAGAAATGACGGTTAGATCTTTACCTGAGTGATAAAAACAAGTAGGATCAACCCGGGAAGTCCCACTTCAATGCATCTTGCTAACTAAAAAATAAAAGATTTTTACATCATATTATAAATCTATATAAATATTCAATGGTAAATAAAACATTATCATTGTTAATGGCCAATATTAGTGTATATACACATACCAAAGGGAACCCAATGTGGTAGAGTCCCAATCCGGTAAATGTTGCCAAAGAAGCAATGGATAGTGGGCTAAGCAATCTAATGAGCACAAAGCAAAAATACATTCATGTTTAATGTTAGATACATAATAAGGTATGTCTCCTTTGGAAAAATAATATGAAGTAATTTACCTAACAATATTTCTCCATACGCCTAGAAAACAGACAAGAACTTGGAAACATCCGGTTATAATCAGAGCTCCTTGTATGCTTCTCATTGTTCTCACGAACCTCTGATTAATTATGTTATCAAACAATTTACTATTAGTACAATATAGTTTGTAAAATTAATGATATTACTAATGTTAAGACTTACTTCAAAAGGATCAATGTAGTAAGTGAATCGGGCCGAATAAATGATAGAAGTGATAGGTATGATATACGCATAAGAAGCAGCAGCTATCACAGGCAATCGAGTTCCAAAGAAAGACTGGAACAATGTTGTTAATCCAGACACAAATAGTAATGTTTGTATTACTTTAACTTTTTCTGCCTGAAAATGTTGAAACAATATATAGAAAAGAAAATCAAAATTGATGTATAGAAATTAAAATCTTTTTTAAAAATTATTGTTATTTATCTAATCTCATTAAATTTATTGTGATTACCTTATATCATAATTAGAAAAATTCAATCTAAGAAATCATGTGTTATATTATTACTAGTATATGTAATTATGAGATGTTAAATAAAATAGCAAATTTTTTTGTCTAGACGAAAAAGTATGATAACCCAAATTTAAAATAAGATTATTAACTACTAACTCCAAAACAAAACTAACGACCAAAAAAAAAAAACTCCAAAACAAAACTGAAATAATATTAAAAAATAATAAAAATCATGATTTTAAAATCAAAATCTAGAAGATCATATATTTTTGTGGTGAGATATGTTGATAATTATGTAAGATATGTTTATAATTTACAAAATTTGTTAACAATCTAAAAGTTATTTGAAAAACACATATCCATATACTTACATCACCACCTCCCATGAGTGGAACTAATAGACTTGGAATGAGAACTGTGATGCCAAGACTCAACAAATAATGCTGGAAACCCAACACTACCGCTTCAACTGCAAACGCCAAAATATACATTTGCACACACACACACACACACACACACACACACACACACACACACACACACACACACACACACACACAAAGATTAGATATAACATAAATAAATTATAAAACAACTAAAATTGAATTGAAGAAAAAACATACACCAAGAAGAAAAAACATACACCAAGGAGGAGGACTGTTGACGCAGTATTGAATTTCGGGGAGTTGTTCTTTCACCGGATGGGGTTGTAACTCCTCCGTCCGGTTTCCTACTCCGGTGTTTCTGCCACCACCGTTGTTACCGCCACCATTTGTCATGGACGTAAATTTCCTTTTTTCCTTTATACAATTCAATTTTAGTTGTTTTATAATTCCTTTACTCAATCAATAATAGGATCAATGAACTTTTTATTCGTTTGTGAAAATATTGTTACTTACATATTACTACACCGTTCTTATAAGAGGGTTAAGGTGATCGACACACAACTACATAAAATCTATATATATAGAAGAAAACTAATTGATAACCTATCATAAGAATATGTTTATCCCAAGCTTTGCCAATATTTGTAATATTGGTTATCAAAAAAGAAAAGAAAGAATATGTTTAACGAAAAAAAAGTGATGCAGAAGAATTAGAGTTTCGGGTCAGTCAATGATAACAATGAAGAAATCTTACTTTTTAGAAAACGATAGAGGAAGGTGGTTGTGAGAGCTAGGCAAAGAGTGAAGAAGAAGAAGAAGAAGTCAAAAAGACTTGGGGGTTATAAGTTGTAACCTTTTGCTAATTTTTATTATTTGAATGATTAAATGACATTTATACAATTAATGTAGTAATAAAACTCTTAGTAATGTCAGTTTTTGATATTATGAAATTTGAAATAATTTTTTTTTGAGATTTAAAAGTCCGTAGGATCTTTTTTTCTCTGATTTTCAGCATTGGAGTAAATTATGGCGTTGGAAGCCTCCTCAATGGTCAGATTCTTTGCGTGATTAGCACTCAACTTGACTAATCATTAGCAAAGTCCAATTATTAGTCGTAACTTCTTCTATTCTTCTACTGTAATTTCTGTTTTCATTTCTCTTGAATCGTGTTTGAAAGTTCGTTTCTCTGTGATGAGACTCTAAGCCTAGGTTAATTTCGAAGAACGAGCACGTTTTTGACTTTGACTAAATCATAACTAATAATCTGTTAAATTGACTTGAAATGATTATGACAAATATATATACAATTATAGAAACGTACCATTTTCACAAGGCACAACGTGGCGGGAACAACAGATACTCAAGACGTTAATGGAGATTCTGATTTCTCTTTCCATTCTTGCTCTCCTCTTTTCCGGAGAAGTAGCTGATTCAAAGAACATCGTTTTCGAAGAGGTTAGAGTTGGATTGGTGGTGGACTTGGGTTCTATTCAAGGAAAGATTCTCAAAACTTCTATTTCCTTAGCGCTCTCAGATTTCTATCGCGTAAACAATAGTTATCGAACCAGAGTCTCTGTTTTGGATAGAGACTCCCAAGGAGACCCTTTGCTTGCTCTCGCTGCCGGTGCGTTTCATTTTCTTTATTGCTTGTAAGAAATTTGGTCTGGTCTATAATGTTTATCTAAATTTGACCGAATCCGAACCAAACCTAATTCGGTAATCGGTATAATGTTCTGTAAACCGAAAAAAAAAAAAAACACATTCCTAGCTACAAGTTGTAAGTTGCATGTAGAAAAGCGGATACATGGTAGCGAAGCGTTTGAAAACATAGAAGTAATTTTTAGAAAATATTTTTGAAATCGGTTACTTTTAAAAGCGTATATATTTTACATATATATATAATCTTAAAAAGATAAAGGTACTAAAATTGTTACATACAAATCAGAATCACTATTAAACATAAGAAAAATAATCTTATAGTTTTAGCAATATATATATTTTTTTTCTAAAAAACTATATTCTTGTATTCAATTATAATATTATATATGCAAATTTAGTGATTAAAGTATTAAACATTTTGAATCTCTCGGATAAACAGACTCAATCCTATTTACTGAATTACACAGCTAATTAAGGATCTTCTCCAAACGGGAAAAGTGAAAGCCATTGTTGGTGCAGAATCATTACAGGTAGCAAAACTATTAGCCGCGATTAGCAAGAAAGCTAAAGTTCCGGTGATATTCTACAAGAAAATATGTCTACAGCCACCACCTAGCTACGACAAATATGTAGCTATGTTCATTTAGCCACAAACCAGACACAATTAAAAACAAGAAAAATACGTAGCTAAGTTGTGACCAAACTGTGGCTAGTTAGCTACAAAAAACCATTCGTAGCTATACGTTGATATTTAGCCACAATAAGCTACAACATATACGGTGGCAAATTAGGTACGAAGTAGCCACGCATATTTCGTTGCGTAAATAACCACAACAATAAATTGTGGATAATTGTGACCTAGAGACGGAACTCATCGTAGCCAGTTGTGGCTATGTTCCTTTTCAGAGTAGTCATGTCAAATTATGTACAATAAGATATTTTGTCTAACTAAACAACTAGTATATAAATATAGCGACAAATAATTCGTGGTTATTTGAGGCTAGCTACAAAAAGTTACATGTATCCACAGACATAGTCGTGGCTAATAGTGGCTTTTATTTTTTGTTAAAAAAATATGTCTAATCGCATCAGTCTGGTCGGAGAGAGAATATATTCGATATAGCCACAAAATAGTTTGTGTCTATTTGTGGCAAAGAGTTACGACGTCATTTGTGGCTTATTGTGACAATCTTCCACAGTTTTCTTTGTGGCAAGTTGTGTCTAATATAGATACATAAACTGTCGTGGCAATTTTGTGGCTTAAGGCTACAAAATTAGTTGTCACATTTTCGTGGCTACGTGTCCGCGAATAGACACGGGAAAATATAGCTACAACGCTATAGACACAAAAAAGTTTTGTAGCTTTCCGATGCTATAGCTTAAGTAGCCACGGAATTTAGGACATATTCACAAAATATTTTGTGGCTAAAGCCGACTTTTCTTGTAGTATGTCTACTTTGGTGCCAAACACTTTGTCTTTGAACAAATATAATCACTTTCTTCATTGGACGTACGATATTACATCAGAGGCTAAGGGGATTACGAGTCTCATACAAGAATTGAATTTGAAGTCGGTTGTGGTTATATATGAGGATGTTGATGATTGGAGAGAAGTTTTGCAAATATTGGTGGATCATTTCCAAGATGGTGGAGTCCAAATCCACCGTACTACTTCTTTCTCAGAATCATCACTAGACGAAGATTACATGGTCTATCACTACGGAAGCTCAAGTCCGCGAGAGCAGCCGTTTTCATTGTACATATGTCGGAGATTCTTGTTTCTCGTCTCTTCCAATGTGCGGATAAATTAGGAATGATGAAAGAAGGATATGTTTGGATACTCACCGCAAGAACCATGAATCATTTTCATAACTTAGATGGTTTTGCAGTTAGGTCAATGCAAGGGGTCATTGGTTTCAGATCATACATTCCAGTATCAGAACATGTAACGAATTTTACTTCAAGATTGCGAAAATTAATGGTTGATGATGACACCGCACAGATAGAAACTGAGCATTTTAGTGTTGTGATCAGTGTATGGGCACATGATATTGCTTGTATTCTAGCAACTGCAGTAGAGAATATCTGGCTAAGAGCCTCTAATGAATCAAATCTTCTTGAGACGATTAAACAGAGTGGATTTAAGGGTTTGAGTCATGGTGACATGCAAATCGTTGGCAACAAATATCTCTTAGGAACATTTGAGATTGTGAATATGGTAGGAACAGGGGTTAGGAGAATAGGATTATGGAGTTGTATTAATTTCTGTGGAAGAAGACACGTCATGGTTTCTTCTATCAATGAACTTGAAACCATTAGCTGGCCTGGCGGGTCTGGTAGAATCCCAAGACATCGGTTTTTGGAAGAGAACGGTGAAAGGAAGTTGCTCAGGGTCTTGGTTACCTCAAGAAATCGCTTCCCACATCTGGTGGCGGTGCGTCCTGATCCTGAAACAGGTCTTAATATTGTCAGTGGATTCTGCATAGAGGTTTTCAAGGCTTCCATTGCTCCTTTCAACTACGAGCTAGAATTTATACCTTATGATAGATCTTCTAACTATGATGATCTTGCTAATGAATTATTTACTCAGGTGCATATTCATACCTTGGAAGTGTGGTCTTAATGACCTTACTATTCAAATGATGTTTCTAACAAAAGTCTGTTTTTGTTTGCATTATAGAGAGACAAATATGATGCAGCTGTTGGTGACATCACCATCACTTACAACAGATCTTTGTATGTTGATTTTACCTTGCCTTACACTGAGATGGGTGTTGGAGTCCTGACGGTAAAGAAAAAGAAAGAGAGCATGTGGACGTTCTTTGACCCTCTTGACAAATCCTTGTGGCTAGCAACTGGAGCTTTCTTCATCTTGACTGGCTTCGTTGTTTGGTTGGTTGAACGAGCGGTTAATCCTGAATTCCAGGGCTCCTGGGGACAGCAACTTGGTATGATGCTTTGGTTTGGGTTTTCCACCATTGTGTTTGCTCACAGTAAGTGTATTACTATTAGAGCATCTCCAATTTCCATCTCTATATTTTCCTCTATTTTAGAGAAACTCTATTTTACAAGAGATTTTGCTCCAATGTATGCCTCTAAAATAGAGGAGAGAAACAACATATGTCTCTATATATAGAGTAATCCAATGTCTCTTTCTTCTATTTTAGAGACATACATTGGAGCAAAATCTCCTCTAAAATAGAGGAAAATATAGAGATGGGCATTGGACATGCTCTAAGCCTTTAAATTATCCCCTTAGCTTACTCTTCTGTTTTTACACTCTATTGAAGTATGAGGTATTATTCTTTGGCAGGGGAGAAACTGCAGAAAATGTCATCAAAATTTGTAGTCATAGTTTGGGTTTTTGTTGTGTTGATATTGACTTCAAGTTACAGTGCAAATTTGACATCGACCAAAACCATTTCTCGCATACAATTTAGTGAGCTGCTTAGAAACCCTTCACAATATAGAATGCTTAGAACCAATAGTACACTCAATACCTTTGACGACTATGTTCAAGCTTTGCGGGATGGAACTATCTCTCATGTTGTTAGTGAAATACCGTATCTCAATGTCTTTCTTGGACATTATCCGGGTGTCTTCGAGATTCTAGGTAGAGACACTACTAGCAATGGCTTTGGGTTTGTATGTGCCTCTCCTCAAAATCCTATTTTTTCTCCCTATTGGTTTTTCCTTACTAACTAGTTCTTTTTTTTCTTTTTTTTCAGATGTTCCAGAAAGGCTCGGGTTTGGCTCCTAACGTGTCAAGAGAAATCGTGAAGCTAAGGTCATCACGAATGTTGAAAGATATGGAGAAAAGATGGTTCCAGGAGCTGGATTCCTTTGGAAAACCACACATTGATTGGTCTGAAAATGACGATGCATTTAACCGCCTCACCATCCATGAATTGGGCGGTTTGTTCGTCATTGTTGGAGTTTCTCATGCTCTTGTACTAGCTTTGCATCTCTATCAGACACGGCGAGAGATATCACGTGCCTTGTGGGAATCTCGACTCTTCACCAAATTGCAAAACTTCTCAGGCTTCTATAAGTAAAATTATCATTATCCATAAGCTTCAGTGTAGCTTTGGCAGAGGATCTCCCTAATTTACAGTTATAAACTTAAAAGAATGTTGAATGTAATATTTCCTGCTATGAATTGATTTTGTTAAATAACCTAATAACTTCTTAAAGAATTAGAGGTTTGTGAATGCGGCTTTATTCATACAATGTCTGTTCTGAAACCACTTGGAATATACTTTCAGAAACAATTACTCTTTAGCAACCCGAACGACCTGTTTACCAATATTTTTCCCGGAAAACAACCCAACAAGTGCAGCAGGAGCGAGCTCGAGGCCTTCAGACATGTCTTCGATGTATACAATCTTGCCTTCCTTGTAATATCTCATGACATTTTCAAGAAACTGTGGGAAGATATTGAGGTAATCACTCTGCAAGAATCCTTCTAGTCTTACACGTTTGGGGATAGCGTTGTATAGGTTGTTGATTCCTTGTGATGAGCTTGAGAGGCTTTGCAAAGACACCATTCCACAGAGCGCGATTCTTCCACGGACCTTCATGTTGAGGAGCGCTGCATCAAGCATGGATCCACCCACGTTGTCGAAGTAGATATTGATCCCCTCCGGGAAGTACCTGTTTTATAGTAAAGATATTGAAACAGTTCAGCTTCATATTTTTGTACAGAATCACATTGCACCATACCTATCTCATTCCCTAGAGCTAGCCATAAGAAATCTGTTTTAAGTGCCATAATCAGAGTATCTTACTATTACCTCTATGGAAGTTTTGTCTTGTGATTGTGGTTGTGTTTTTTTCTAACTAGAGTGACACAGTATTGATAAGATGTCTAACTATCGTTGCAATGATAGTGAAATTCGAGTTCCTTATGGAACTTCTAAAATCCTAGAGACAAGCCATGATAATCTCAAGACAAGCATTACTCTCCGAAAGGGAACTTTCAATGAATTAAACAGGTTTCCAGTTCCACAAAACATTGACGGTATGTAAGAGAACGAGCAAGTGAAGCTATTAAGGTAAGTGATTCTTTAGGTTGACTTTCGCAATATATTTACCTCTTCAAAGCAGCATCAAGATCAGCCTCTTCCTTGTAGTTAAAGGCTTCATCAAACCCAAGCTCGTTTTTAAGGAGATTAACCTATAAAATATGTACACAAAAAGTTACTTCACAATGACAAGTGAGTAACAAGAGTTGCTAAAGTAAGTTTAGAGACTTACCTTTTGCTTACTACCGGCGCTCCCAACAACATAGCAGCCGTGTAACTTAGCTAGCTGACCAACAAGTTGTCCAACTGCTCCAGATGCTGCAGAGACAAAAACACTGTCCCCTTTCTTAGGACAACATATCTCATTAAACCCTGCATATGCTGTAAATCCAGCCATCCCTGTAAGAAAATGAATTCATACTGTTTATATCAAACAAATGATTGATTCCTTCTTCTTATGCTAAACAAAAGATGGTCGTACCAAGAAGTCCAAGATGATAAGAAAGTGGAATGTCATCGTATAACCGAATCTTTCTCAACTGCAGGTTATCTGAACTACGTAGCAAACTGTATTCTTCCCAACCTATAATCCCGCTGATTATGTCGCCAGTCTTATAATTATCGTCATCAGAATCTATCACTTTCGCTAAACCAAACCCTTCGATACGCTACATCAAGATTACCAAAATATCAGTCGCTTAATACAGAGTATATAACAAATGAAAATTCAAGCCAAGAAACGTGTCAAAGAGACATCAAAGAATATGAACAAATTCACAAACAAAACAAAACAAATCTCAAGATTCCTCAGCATATGATATATATACATTCGTCAAAACATCGAACACTCGGTGTGCAATTTCTCTACCGCAGGTATACAGCTTTTACACATACCCTCTTCATTTAAGAACAATTCACCGATAAACAAGACAAATCTCAAGACTTTTGCAGCATTTCTATATACATTCACAAGTTCCGTCAAAACGTCGAACACTTGGTGTGCAAAATCTCTCTATCACACAAACACTCTATTTACCTATCTCTCTTCAAAATTTGAGCTCCAATGAGCAAAAAAACGATACCCAAAACACCAATCACAGACCCAATTGACAAAAAAACACAAAAGCTGAAAACTTGAAAATGTGGGTATAATATATACTTGGCCAGGAACAAAAGGTGGGAGATAGGAACCGTGAAAGTCACGCATACGACCTCTCATGTAAGGATCACAAGACAAATATAGATTTTTGACAAGGAAATAAGAAGACCCTTTTGGTGCTCTAAGCTCAATTGTTTCTCCGAGTTTCACTTCCATGTCTGTTTCTTTAGGAATGCCATCTACATAATTCTTTAGTATCACTTTCTTGTTCTCCACCACTGCAATTTCTTCCATTTGTGCTAAATCTGTGATGGAGAAGAAGAAGATGAGAGTAGCAATTTTTTTGCAAAGAGATGGTTTTGGTTGTGTAGGATAGAGTTTGGTAAGACGAGTGTTTCTCGTTTGTGTGACGCGTAGGTTTAATTAGTTTTAGTTTTAGTTGAAGTCATTTAATGTCCAATTTACCAATAATAATAAGAGATAATTAGCTAGGAGACAAGGATTGATAGAGAAATTAGTTTTTTTTCAAAATCCATAACAATGAAAATTTTAGCTATTTTTTTTTGCCAAATATAACTTCACGTGCCTCCCCATTTTTTTTTTTTATTATCGTTTCTTGACTTTTAGCTCATTTATTTATGTTAATAGTGTTCCATTTTTTTTGTTCTCTTCTTTTTCAAAATTCTTGCTCTCTTCTTTCTTTCCTATATTTATAGGATGATGAATCACACCTAAGATGCAGTGATGACTTGACATAATTTGATGAAAATCCGGTGACAATACGATGGAATCCGGTAAAAATTTCGGTGACAATTCGGTGAAAACATACGAAAATCTTTTAAAAATCCAACGAAACATATGACTTCGATGAAATTTCGGTATCTAAATAACACTCTATATACGTGTCAACTTCGTTATTTTCACGCGCATGGTAAAATCACAGACTGGTTTTTGTGTAATTTTTTCGAACTTCAGACCCAATTATAGTGTAATTTATCCCTTGTCCTAAACTATTGTCTTTTCACTAATATATTACTCTATTTTTGTCTCTGCGCTAATCATCCCTAATAATATATATATATATATATATATATATATATATATATATATATATGTATATATATATATATATATATTAGATAATTAATATGGTTATAAATGTATGTCACGATCTTTGGTTTCTCGGCTGTGGTTTCGTCTTTGGCTGAGGCGTGCTTGCCTTTGTTTGGGTAATTTCCTCTCTGCTCAAGTTTCACCTAGGTTTTTAGCTTTTTGCTATATCTTGGCTCGTTTTTAGTTGTTAGGGTGATTTAATCGTTGGTGTTGCTATGGATTTGGAGGTAACCTAATCTACAGCCTTGTCTTGCAATCCAGATTTAGGTGTTTTGTGGCTTCCTTTTCTTTGATGTGGTTGATTGCTCGGTTGAATTTGTTTTGTGGACTTGTGTTTTAATATTTGTTGGTGTTTCGTCCCAATTTGTCCTTCCATGGTGTCTTTAGGCTCCGAGCTGAGTTTTTGATCGGTTTTCTCATCTTACAAAATGCGGATGGTTCGGTTCACCCACCTGATTAGGTTGTCGTCTTCGTTTCACCCTTAGCAAGATTCTCTTAGATGTGTGATCTTGGACTGAAGGAGTTGAGCAAGTGCGTTCATCTTTCTTCGTCAAATTCTTTATCAGGTTTCTCTATCCAATTATCTAGTTGTTCTCATGTTGGGCTTAGTTGGGACTAATAGGTATGTGGTTCCCTTTACTTCTGTAGTCGGTAATTTTATGGTTTATGTCTCTCTCGTTTGGGTTTAGTTTCCTAGAATATTTCATTTGTATTTTACAAACGTGTCCCAACCCTTGTATTTCACAATCGTGTTATATATTGAAAAGATTTAGATGAAAAAAATGTAAGGCATATAATTCAATATACATTTTATTTGTTCGAGTATCTAAGTTTAGTCTTTCTTTCATTAAATTATACAAATATGAATTGTTCTTTTGGTAGCTATCATATATATTGTCCAGCCCTATGTGAAGGATTTTTTTTCTTTTCAAAAATTATTTAAATGTTAAGAATCATCAAATATTCTATAATAAATATATCACCGAAATATTGACTACAATAAAACTTCAATAAATTAATTATATTAGGATCCGCATATATGTGGGTTTTCAATTTAAAATTTTTATAAACCAATGGTAAACAAAATTAGATGACCCATGAAAACAAAATCAGAAATTATCGCTTTTTTATTTTTTTTATTCTTTTGTTTCTAATTATATTTTTCAAGTATTTCCAAATATTTAGCTTTTTCTTATCCCTATTTGAATTTTCTTATTGAAATTTGAATGAACTTTACTTTTTTATAAAAGTGTTTTATCTAGTTTTTTACCTAAACTTTGACCAATTGATGACTTATTCATCTTTGCATCCGCTACAATCTGTTCAAATAGGAAGAAGATGAAGGAAATAAAAGAGTGTGGAGAAGGCAACTTTGGAGGCTTGTCGACACCAGAGCTAACGTCGGTTCTGAAAGTTGTGTGTTGCTTCTTGGACAAGTAATTGCAGAATCTATCGAAAACCCAGTAATCTTAAGACGTAGTCCGGAATGGCTTCTTTAGGACAGCGTTTGGAGGTCCAAATCTTATCCGATTGACCTGAATTTTGGTGGAGAGGTTCATGGTACGTCAAGCTTGTGAATCAACAATTCGATGAAAAATTTATCGATTCGTTGCAGAGTCATATGTGAAAGATGAAATAAAGATAAAGATGAAGTGACGATAAACCATTGACAAAGTGAACATTAATAATGATGCTACATCATGACAAATGTAAATGTTGAAATAATAAATTGAAGGGTAGGATATCAATCAGCGAATAAATAATAAGATCTCACCCTTCAATTTGTTACTTCAATCAATTGATTTTGAATTCGAAACTC